ATCATAGATAAAGACAAATTTGAAATAAGTCTCAAGATGGAAGAAATATGTTTCCAGAATTACTCTCAAAAACACAGAGCTTTCAGGCTTACATCAGAACAAGTGAGTAAAGGAAGTCACAAGATATTTCTATGAGGATTGTTCAATAAATATGAAATCTAGTCATCCATTAAGGTCTTTAAATGTGAGACTACATCTACATCAGCTGCCTCTTGAGCTTTTTTTAAGCTTTATTACTTATATTTTAGTTAAAGCATTCAGTCTTATGAAAGAGAAAGCAAAACAAAATAATTATAAGTGTAAAGCAAAACAAGAGGAAGCCAACAACCAAAAGCCAAGTATAGAAAAAGAATTCATGGCTCTTCTAAGAAATGTCTGCGTTGTTACCTAGGATTCATGCTCTGCATCCCAATGCCTCAATATACATTTTGATCAATATTTTCTCTGCACATGGAATAGAATAAAAATATAAAGAAAACATTGAAATTAAAATAGAATTGAAGGACTTCTGCTTCTAGGAAGATGGAGGGGATGTACTTTTTCCTATTCTTCCAGCTAAGTACAAACAAAAACCCTGGACGTTTTATATAAGCAAATATAACCAGACATTAATAGGTGGAGAGAAGAAGGAAGATGAGTTTACAGCTTTTGGACAAGAGGAATGAACGACACAATGGTGAGATCCTGGGTTTTCTTTTTGCCTCAGATGTTTCAGACTTGGAGCTGAAGAAGGTGGCAACTAGGAATCGTCAATGGGAGCAGACAAAAAAAGCCTCCCAAATTGAGAGGAGAATCTGGAGCCTACACCACAGATCCTTCCTCATCTCACCACTGAGGGTGAGTGAAGGGATCTGTAGCTACCTGCATATATGAGCAGATGCCTTAGCATTCCAAAAAGGATATCAATTCTAACCTTCACTTTTAAAAATGGGAAAACAAACGGCTTCGCCTTAGCAACATACAATGGCTATAGACTAACTTCCTGAGAAGAAGGATACCCTCAACCTCTCTGCTCCAATGTCTGTCAAAGACATAGTTGAAGGAAACTGAGTTCATGGAAGACTGTCCCCCAGTCCAGACTCAGGAAACTAAAATCTATCTTTGGATTCACTCACACCATCAGAGTTATTGGATCTTGCTACACTGCCCTCTGTGCCTAGTACAATGGCTTTGGTTTAATTGCTCTCTGCCATCATGCTATCTTTTTTTTTAAAGGATGGATGCTATGAGGTACAGTCTCTGTGTTTACTATAAGGTTGTTGTTGTTATGTGCCGGCGAGTCAGACCCGACTCACAGCGACCCCTCCTTGGGTTTCCGAGGCAGTATCACTATGGAAGTAGATTGCCCCATTTTCCTTCCGAGGAGTGGCTGGTGGGTTTGAACTGCCAGCCTTCTGGTTAGCAGTCAAGTGCCTTAGGCACTATGCTACCAGAGCTCCCTTACTATAAGGATGCAGTTGAAAATATTATTCAGGGATCCCATTAAGAGCACAGTTTGGAAAACTCTTCTTTCTGTTCTTAGTCATATATTAGAGAGAGAAAAAACAAAAACAAAAACTAACATCCAAAGAATTTGTTGGTTTTAGTCACACAGATATTGTGACTCACAGAAGCAGTAAAAGTAGTAAAGAATGGAGTCAACCTTTTTATTTTTTCAATTTTAAAAAAAGATGTTTCAGCCAAATCTTTTAGCTCTTGTTAAGTAATTATGACATTTAGCTTAATATAAGGAATATGTTTCAATATGCAAAGAAATGCTTTGTCATTTTCTTCTGAGTCATAAAGGCTTAAAATGATTATCCTCAGAGATGCTTGTTAATATTAGACATGTCCTGTTAGAATATATTGAATCTTTTATCCAAATAGCAGAATGAAGCCCAACACAATTTAAAAAATAATAATAAGCATGGTGCCTGTCACATCATCTAAGCGTAAGTGAAATTAAAGCACGCACAGGCCCTGCTCTGGGAAGCTGCCCAAGGCTAGTCCTAGGGTAAGGGGAGGCCATCAACAGGACTTGAAATGGGTACCTGCCAAAGGCCACTGGTTGGCTGACAAGGCAGGGTGACCAACATCATCAGTTTCCTCAATTTTGGAAGAGGTACTAGGCTGATCTGAGTCTTTCCTCTGGAATTTGAAAGGAAAATACAGAGAACATAAGCCAGTATGGTGACATCAGTGTAAAAAGTTAATGAATCAGAAGGCAGAACAAAGACCTAGAGAAAAGTGAAGCCACACAAACACCCATGATTGAATGGAAGCAACAAAATGACCTGCTTTCAAAAGTGAGATGCCAAAGATGGCCCTTCTGTCTTCCCATTAGCTTTGTCTTCTTTATGGCCACACCCATCCAATCTTAACCTAACAAAAATCCCCTTTACTTACAGTAGCTCAACCAAATCTCTACTGCTTCCACCGTAAGTCTCATACAAGTACCTCTATTTTCTTGTCACTTAGAGGAGTGAATATATCCACACATTGTTCAGAAAAAGTAGTAAGATAGGCATTTGTGATACCTACAATCTATGAAAACTTCATGAGACTGGATGTTCAAACACTGTTTTGGAAACACAAAGCATCCATTTCCCTCAAGACATTTCTGAAACTTCCTTAAGAGCTTTTTGAGAATTCCTTTTAACAACTGCTCATATATAATAGAACTGAAAAAAAAAAAAAGGTCAGTTTGGCTTTTAAAACATATTATTGGCTTAAAGACAGACAAAAATCCTATCATCAATTTAAAAAAATCATTAAAAAAAAAGAAAAAGAAATCAAATTCAGAATGCTTTGATGCTTAATGCAAAGTTCAATGTACAAGCCAGTAGTTGAGCTCTTTTAAGGAAAGGACAAAAATAAGCCAAAGATTTAATTAAAATTAAGTAATGCGTATTCACAAGTAATTCCAAAGACCTAAGGCTATGTTCCACAATATTTCCTTCATTCTTTCTAGAGTTGTTGAGTGCTACAAACCTACCGTGAAGTCTACCTTCCGGAGATATGTGCATATACTCAGGAAGGAAGATGCAGAAATTAATAACTTAGTGGTATTCAGTGTTGCCAAATATGTGTACGCTACTGCATGGGTCATGTGTGACTCTGGCAAAACGAGGCCTAACACGCATGGATGTGAGCCCGCAGAAGGCACAGCACAAGAGAAGTGGTGGGAAAAGAAAGAAACTTAATAACAAAGGATAGAGAAACAGAGAAAGGGATGTTGGAGCATATGATGTTGAATGAATGAGAACAGCAATTTGCACATTCTCAGGATCATATACTCTCTGTCATCGAGTTGGATCCAACTCATAGTGACCCCTGCTTGGGTTTCTGAAGTGGTATCACTACGGAAGTAGATCATCCAACTTTCCTTCTGAGGAGTGGCTGGTGGGTTTGAACCACCAGGTTTCTGGTTAGCAGTCAAATGCCTTAGGATCATATGGTACCTGAAATCCTAGTGAACAATCTAGAATCATAGCTCTAAGTGGGTGAACTAAGACCTTGAGACAGACTTGACTGTGAACATTATATGTTTACATCAGTACATATAATGACCATGATGGGCTTTGAATTTTTTTTTTTCAAGCCCTCAGAAAACATCAAATGATATGTTACATGATATTCCACATGCTTGTTCTATTTGCAGTTGGGTAGTCAATCAGTTGTGGTGATAGCCACAAATCCACCTCCATTCCCAGCAAACTAAAGACTCTGGGACTGCTTGGAATTAACTTAGAAGCATTTGTAAGTCCAAAGAACTAAAGATATTTTCCACAATATTTCCTTCAGTATTGTGGAGTTGGAGATCATCACAAAACTACCAGCTTTCCACTCATGGACTGTCCAGTTTACTGCAAGCTTTTGTGGAGACCAATTACAGCAACAAAAGCCTCACAAGAAATGGGATTCTCTACAGCATCCTTTTTGGCTAAGAGAAAACAGGAGGCTCACCCACTGATGAAGCATCCCACATGGTCCCCTGATGCCCTCAGCGAACTCTGCCCCCTGACTCTCCCGGGCTGGGGAAGAGGAGGAACACAGTTATGGATCCCAGGAATTCTCCCTCCCTTCTCCATCCTCAGTTGTCCTATCCCCTTGGAGGTTGCAAAGGCTGTATCCATGGCCAGTGTACTAGAGGAAAGGAAAGAGATCAGGGACTGCTTTGACTTAGGGGGTCAATCTGCAAACCTTTTAGCATATCCAGCGTTGGATCTGAGATGCAGCAGCTTCTTTTCCAAAGACACTTTTCTTTCTAGCAGTGTTCTCTTTTCCTAGGAGAAAATAAGATTGTCTTTGCTTATTTGGGGTGTGT